TGGAGAATTCTCAGTTAATTTTGTAATTCAAAAATTGGATTATCTGTACCACTGTGGATGCGCTAAAGAGAACACAGCAAATTGAGGGTGGTTTGTACTGGTATTTCATATTGTCCTGTGAATTAAGGTGTTGGATGCTGCATAATATCAAAGCAAGCATAATAGAGTTTGAGATTACCTTCTGATTGTTGCTCTTTTATAAGAACGCATAGATCTTTATACTGGTCTTCCTTGCTGCAAAACAAAGCAATCGGCAGTTACAGTATGCTAAAATATAGTAGTTAATCTTTAAAAGATCGCTGTGTCTTGTGAAGTGATGAAATATAAAGGACAACCAGAAGTGGAGAACAGTGCAATAAAGTTTCAAGATGTGTTTGCGCTTGTTTCACTGATAGTGGAACTGAATATTAGACATGTGATTTTGCTACTTACTCTGCGTTATAGAGGTTGTCCCTGTTTGACAGCAATGAAATGGGTAGGGCATGACTGCTCCCTTCTAGGCTAACAAGTGGTGTTTTTTGTGAACTGCTCAGTGAGTTCTTTATATTTGTTGGAGCAGCACATGACAGGACTGAGATTGAATCTTCATGGTGTTGTGTTGGGGGTGGAGCTTCTCAAATGGCTCCCAGTCCTTTGTCAACCTCCATTGCGTCAGGGTTACAGATGAATCAGGCTTGTTTGGCTCCCTGCCCTTGAGAAAGGGAAGTAGTAGAACTTAGGTTATCTCATTTTTGCTGAAGGTCTTGTTATGAATTTTATAAGCTTTTTCATTATCCTGTTTCTTGGTGTCTTGATTCATCTGATGGAAGAGCCTTGCTGAAAGAATAAAAATATATCTTTATAATGAGAGGAAAGAAACGACTGTTAGTGTTCCAAAATACAGCTTTTGTGATCCTCTTGTTTACTGGTCCATTCACTGAGCTCTTGATAGCCATGTTTGCCAGTTCAATAAAAGTACTGTGGTAGGAGCAGTATATGCAACATAAGATTTCTTTGTGCATACCAGACCTCACCAGTGAGGTTTTCTCATGAAGATAACAGTACCAGTATTAGCTTGTCAGAGTAAAAATAATGTTAACAGTAAAATCTGCTAAAAGCTGCGTATTGGGGAAGGGAATTAATTATCTTTAAAAGTTAATTGTGAGTTCAGTAAACATATGCAAAGAAATTGAGAGTTAGGACTGAATAAAGGAAGTACAAACGTAACTGAAAGAAACTTCCTCTCTGGAACAACATTAAATCTTTTCTTGCCACATACCGTTGTATATGTAGCACTTGAGTTAGGTAGAGAAATGGTCTGAGCACAGAATTTTTATGGTAGTGGTATTGCAGTGTTCTTTCTGAGATTGACATCAATACATTCTGCAGGCTCTTGGTAATCTTGGTAGCAATACTACCAAGATATTGGGAAGAACTCCTGTCTGCACTGGCTTCCGGGCTCAAATCTACTGGATAGCCAGGTTGCCTGTAAAAGCGTTTAGGGTCTGAGTGGTGCAGAGTGCATCAGGCAAGGGGAAATGACTTTGTTTGTAATGAGAGAGGAGCAGGAAATTGAAGATAGGGGAAATGAGGAAATAGACTACTAACTGCTTTGTAAATAAGGCTTTTTTTGTTCACTGCTTTTCATCAGGTTGGCTAGAAGTCCAGCTGTTTGCTGAATAAACTATTTGGCTAGCTGGGTTTAGGTGTGTGTATTACAGTAACAGGACAGAGACCTTAATTTAAGGTTCTGTTAGAAGCATGTGCTTGAGAGGCGTTTTCTACCAAGTGCTTGGCTGGTCATGTGTCAAAGCATTGTGTACTTATTGTGGCCAAGCTTGAGAGAATCGATCAAGGTGCTTTTTGACAGCTAAAAAAGAGATTGTTTCTTGATGGAGAAGGGAGTTGACTAGATTTTAAAATGTAACTGAAAATACATTTTCGGAGTAATGATATGTTGGATTACATGTTGTCATCAACCAAGTTTACACCCAAAATTTGAGTTAATGTTGTGTAATGAACCATTTCACTGTTTTATAGCGCTCTTAATGCGATCATACTTCTTGATTGCTAGTAATGGAATTAATTCTTAATGACAAAATACTTTGCTCCACCTTATAACTCAAATGTGTTTGGCTTTTTTATGTGTTTGTAAACTTGTCTGCTGTAAAGATGTCAACCTTTAGAGTGACATCCCCAGTTTGCAGGAATTTTCTTTCCCTCCTGTTTGTCCTGGTGTGATTGATATCAAAGGTCTTTAATTTGTGCGTGAATGGATAAGTCATGTACACAGCATTACTCTGAACAGTCATACAGTTTAGAGGGGAACTTGGAATAACTGTAGTTTTCAGGTAGCTGTCTTAACAGCTCTTCATTGAGTCTTTACTTAAAATAGCTTAAAAGAAGATACTGCCCCATTTTTTCTCTCAAAGTCTTGCTTCTGTAAGTTAATAGGCAAATGTTTTGATTAGGAAAGAGGAACACTAATGCTGATTGAGCTTACTGCATCTTGCTGCTTTTTGAAAAAACTTCTGAGGACTGCTTTTAAATATAGGGAGATTTTGTAGGATCTTGTAAATGTTTAACAGCAGGTGATGTCCTAATTAGGCTTAATTATTTGCATAATATTTTTGTAGTCCCCCACAAACTTTGTCTTCTGTGTAAAAACATTGGACTTTACATGTAGTAAGGGTATTTCTTATGCCTAACCCCTGAAAATAGTTTCACTGGATTGGAATGTGGTTAAATGGTAAGATTTTCTTCCAGCTTCTGTCTTTTTTGGTCAAATCTTTTGTTCAAAGTTTTGTGATAGCATTTCTAAACGATGAAGGAATGGATTATTTGTCATTGTTGATTGATTGCTGCCATTCACATCAAAAATATACTCAAAATGTTTAAGCTGTTGTGTAGTTTTTAATTGGAAGCCAGCAGCTCTGCCATGAGTAAGCAGTCCTTCAGGCTCTGTAGTGGTTAGCAAAAAAAGAGGAGGTTTAGTCCAATTTGCGTGCAGTTTGCTTTTGACTTACTGATGTAAAACATACCTATCTGCTGTAAATTTATTAGAAAACAGTATTGCTTTCTTAGTTATAACAGGCTATAGACCTCACATTTCAGTGTAATTGTTATAAACAGGTGTAGGATTTCCAGTGAGAACATTGAAATGGATTTTTTTCGCTGGGGTTCTAGGATCCACAAGATTCTTGATCTTCAGAAAGATCCAGTGAACTTAGAGCTGGTTTAGATATTAGTACTGCAGCATATATGCCTTGTGCAAATTTTTAATTCTGGCCTACACCTCTTGAGGAATTAGATTAGTTACTATTGGCTATGAAGAGAACACAGGCTGCCTGGGAAATGCATCTCAGTTTGCAGTGGGTATAGTCATTCTTCAGGGTCTGTTAAGGAATAGCTAGCTCACAGCTGCTCCTGAAGGAAAGCATGAGTTTGTGAAACAATCCAGGAAGTGTTGATTTGAATCTATTCTGTAATCTCAATCTTGTATCGATTCTGTGACATAATAAAACTAGAGCTTTAAATATTAGCACCAGATGTAAGAATGTGTTAGCATTTTGGAGAATTTGGAGGTTGAGGCAGAAGATGATGGACTTGAGCAGTAAATGATACTTAACCTGCTATAGCTTTGCTGTTGCTACCTTAGACTTTTTTTGTGGCTTCATGTGTATGCTCCTGCGCTGTTTAAGGAGCCTCGTTTCCCCATAAGGCAGAGTTGCACGTATTCTTCTTAAGCAGCCTTCTGGTACTTCAGCACAGCCTGCTGTTAGCCAAGTATAGCTGTTTGTGTGCTTATGTGATGAATTGTATTGGTGTCTGATCTGTTTGGGTAATTTATTTTTCATATTAGCCAGCTCTACTTTCTGATTCAGCACACAAACGTTTCTAGAAGAGCATAGGAGGTGGTCCTTCAAACAAGTGGGGAGGGAGAAGGGATGGAGCACCTAACGGCGGAAGTAGTATAAGTGCCAAATGTCTCCTAGAGCCTTATTCATCTGAGGCACAAAAAGGTGATATTAGTTACAGTAAAGAGTGCTTCAGGGGTTATCACAGTCGGAACCAAATTCTTTTGTCACTTCCTTTTGGGAATTTAAACAGAAGGCCGAGATGCCAGAGGAAGCGGGTTGAAGGTGAATACATTGCTGAGGTTACTGTTGCCTGTCTCTCTCAGTAGTCTTCCAGTACTAAAGTTTTTCTTTGAAACAGGCTTTGAGTCTAATGTTGCATTGTTGTGTGTTGGCAGCGTAATGTTTCACAGTGAGGGGAGCCTGCCTGGCACCAACTTTTAAGGGGACATGTGATAGGATATGCTTGGTTTCTGTCGCAGAATAGAGTCGAAGTACATGGACTGAAAATAGCATTGTACCCTACTCTATACTACTAATGTGTGGTGTGGGTTTTTTTGTTTGTTTGTTTTTTTTAAGAAACTCTAGGTAAGAAATGGATTTTTATTATTTTACCCCAAAATAATAAGGTTCAAAATCTCTGTTTTATTCCTTTTCATGTCAGAAAAGAATAATGAATTCTAAGTAACTGATTCCTATAGCTCAGTTGTCACTTTACTGTACACCGTATTGTGTTCAAGGTACGTACTATCCATGTATATGGCTATAGGGGAAGATGTAGACCTTATTTAAGTGTGCAGTTTAGTTGATGGCCATTGGAGCTATTTATCTGAAACTCGTGTAATTTTTGTAGGTGTAAGACTCTGGACCATATATCAAGGCTTGCTCAGTGAAAATGAGAATGTTTTCACTGACTGTAAGAACTTCCCTTCAATGCAAGTTATAAGAGCTCTGTCTTAATTCAAAATGACAGTGTCAAGCAGTATTGTTAATGTTGTGAAACAGTTGTATTTCAGTTACTGCTGGTTTGCTTTTCCCATTGAGAGGTTAGTCTTAGCAGTAAATGGCTTTTTTTCTTATTTCAGTTTTGCTTTTGAAAAATCTGATGCTTACTTTTATTGATATATATCTGTTTTCATTTCTAGGCCTTTCTTAAAACTTTCCATGTCTAAATGGACTCCTGAATGTAATATAGTTTATACTCTAAAAGCTTTCCTGCTGATGCACCAAAGAGACAGGAGAGTCTGAAGGGGATCCTCTTGAACCCTGAGCCTATTGGGGCAGCCAAAAGCTTCCCTGCAGACGTTGAGATGATCGCCAGTAAAGTAGGGAATGAGTTCTCTCACTTATGTGGTGATTCTCAAAAGCAGAAGGACACAAATGGCAACCGTACAGACCAAGACAAAAGTATTGTGGTGCGAAAAAAACGCAAGAGCCAGCAGGCTGGTCCCTCATACACTCAAAACTGTCCTGACAAAGAAGACCAAGGAATTTTAGGATTAAGACAGCATGTAGAAACACAGAGTGAAGACAATGATTCTTCTTTCAGTGACTGTATCTCTTCGCCTTCATCTAGCCTACATTTTGGAGACTCTGACACAGTAACATCTGATGAAGAAAACGGCACTCCCGTAAGATCCCCTCAGGCAGTGTTGAATACTACAAGTAGAACTCATAGCGCAAGGTCACAAAAGTGGCCTCGGACTGAGGCAGACTCTGTACCTGGGTTATTAATGAAAAGGCCCTGTTTTCATAGCAGTTCTTTAAGAAGGCTTCCATATAGGAAGAGATTTTTGAAAACTAGTTCATCACAGCGGACGCAGAACCAAAAGGAACGAATTTTAATGCAGAGAAAAAAGCGGGAAGTGCTAGCTCGAAGAAAGTACGCTTTACTACCCAGCTCGAGCAGTTCCAGTGAGAATGATCTCAGTAGTGAATCTTCTTCCAGTTCATCAACTGAAGGGGAAGAAGACTTATTTGTGTCACCTGGTGAAAACCACCAGAACAGTACAGCTGTTCCTCCAGGTAAAACTAAATTCCGGGGGTACTTTTTATTAATGAGCTTTCATCATGTACAATATGTTTTTTTAATAAGTACTTTGGAGCAGTTGCGTTTGTGTTTTTATAGAAGTTTTACTACAAATAGACTTAACTGCAGGTAACATGAACATTATGCCCTAAGTTCTTGATGAGAAAAGTACATTCAGAGCTTCCAGTAAAATTGCAATGAATCTATAATCTTAACTTTAATGTAAAAGGTAAAGTTAATGGTTTCTAAACAGTGTACTGGAAGGATGCTCAGTCTGATTAGTCATATGCTATGGAGTTGCTACTTTTTCTTAGTTGTTGAATTGTATTAATTTTAGCTATTACAGCTTTGCTGTTTGTGGCAGTAATAATTCTGACTGGTTTCAGAATGTAGAAATATCTGCTAATACATAATTTACTGTGCTTGAAAACTGGAAAAAAAATCCATGGGAAGGAAAAAAATGGTCATTGAGATAAGAGCCTGAAATAGTGTCAGTTGAAGGTAGCTTTAGTATTGCAATAGGAGAAAATGTTACAGCCTGAAGTTGTGGAAAGCAAAGTACTGTGTATGTATACCAAAAGTTCTACCTAGATAAAGTCAAGGCAGTGATCTTACCAGAGAAATGTAGAGCACCTGCATGTCTTGACACAGTATTTGAGGGCATGCTTGAATATTTGGAGTGGGGTTTTTTTGGGGCATGTTTTTGGTCTTTTTGGGGTTTTTCATTTGATGTGATGGGTTTTTTTGCCATCTACCAATTTTCTTGTACTTCCTTTCACCTTAAGTTGGCCAAATGAAAGGCAGTCCCAAGACTAGGAACGGTAACATTCATAATGTTATAGTTGTGCCTTCAGTTTGTCATTTCAGCTTTTAGAGAGCATGGGGAAGTAGATACATAGAACACAGCATAGTGTTAATCTGTGCAGCTAGGTTTTTTGCCTACTGACAAATGTGGGTTAGACAGTTAAATCATGTGCTGATCATTCCTCTAAGAAAAAAATGACTGAAAATACAAGGACAGGGGTTTTTTTTTTTCCTTAAAAAAAAAAAGAGGGGTGTATGTTCATGTTGGTGTAGGATTTATGCTTGAACAGAACCAGAATACTAAAGACTAGATTACTGCTTGTTGTCCATTGTAGCAGGAAATAATTTGTGTGTTGTTCTTTAATGTACTTCTTCAAGTTACTTAAAAGAAGTAAAATTTGTAATGCAAAAATCTTATGCAATGCTAGGGCTGCATAAGTAACTCTGAAACAGAAGAATTATTGCACAGCCTTAATTATCTTCATGCATATTTGTGGGAACAGAAATGTCTTTTTTTTTTAAACCTAAAAAAGTTACCTTTGACATGAATGTTCAAGCATATTGAAGGGTGTGATTTGTAAATATTTAATGTATGGTGATAGGCATACATTCGTAGTAAAAACTTATTTGGGAAAGTACTGTGTTAATACTTGTGTTTCCAAGTTATTAGTTTCTTCTCATTTTAAGAGAGGTTGAAGTTTCCTGTCACTGAAAAATCATGTTTAACAACTCTTTCCACATACAGAGCACTATGCAACAGTGAAACTGGTATATGGATGAGAAAACATAGGTTATGGCTTCTTAGGTGGCTGTCTATTCCTAACCCTGATAAATATTTTTAAATAGAGGAGTTTTAATTAACTTTTTTTAGTCAGCTTGAACCATTAACGCCTACTGCCTTTTTTTAACACAGATTCAATTTTAACACCACTTCTGTGCTTTTATTTCCCTTGAAGTATAGAACAAGTATTTCCATAGTGAGGTTTTTCCACAAGCATTTCAAAGAATCTTGTGGAGAGAGATCTCTTTAAAAATTGATGCCATTATCAGTGAATATTCAAGCTGCTCAGGTAACTTCTGGTAACTCCATGATTCAGCGTGATGCTGTTTTGTTGGTAGGAAGACTGAAACTTGCATTTTGTTTCATCTAGTTATGTGGAAAAGTAAGTTCAATGTCCAATGGCTTAATTTTTATACTGCATGAAAAGCATGCATAACTTATGAAATTATTTATTCTTGCGTCATGAATGAAAAATCGATTAGCTCCACACCACTTAATTTTAGATTAAAATACTGATATCAGTTATAACTGAAATAAGGTATGCTTTAAAGAAAGTGTGTTATGGTGGCTGTACTTCAGGACTAACACTTGCAGTGAGCTGAGAAGTAACTATGGTTTAGTGTATGTGAATAGTATGCTTGAGCTTTTTTCCAGTCAAAATATATATTGATGGGAGGGTTTTGCGCATTTTATTTAGATTGCAGATAAAATGGGAAGTTGAACAGGCTTCCTCTGTGTCCTATTTTTAGGAAGATAAGTGTGATTAACACTTTCTGTAGCTTTCTGCTGTTATATAAGGCATTTCTAGTTATTGAGTTAATCGGGACAGAAGTAGGGCCAGCTGGAAAAATAGCTATGCAGCTTTTCTGTATAGTGAAGAAGCATGATGATGTTTCTATATGAAGAAAGGGTGGTATTTCCAGTGGTGCTACACTAGCCCGTTAATGTTAGGGAAGAATTTTTTTCCTCTAAATTAGCACATGAAGATTATGTATAAAACTGCTGAAATTACAGAATATACTGAAGGACAAGGAACTTCTGCTAAGAATGAGGCCTGCAGCATATATGTAGAAGTACTAGAGGGTAGACGTAAAGGTGGATGATGAGAAGAATAATCAAAAAAGAAAATAGAATTTTAAAAGATATGGTAATAACTGAAGTTTTAATAAGTAGGCATCAAAGTGATGTGGTTAGCCTTGTAGCCTACTTAACAACAATTTGTATTAAGAATATGTCACAAAATAATTCTTTTGCTTTAATGTTTATTTAAAGGTACAGTGCATTTAAAGAACCAGTAAATTAGTGTATACTCTTTGGGAAATGTTTCTTTCTGATTATTGTGAAAAATTCAAGTAACAGATCTTTTCAACCAAATAAGTTTAACTACAAAAATTAACCTACTAAAACTAACTTGTCTGTGTTCTTGAAAATTGCGTGAATGAAGATTTGTGTGGGTGTTTTTGGTTTTTTTGGTGTGGGTTTGTTTGTTTGTTTTAACAAAACCTTTGCCAAAAAACCCCAAACAATGCTGTAGGGTTTCTTCCTCCCTTTTCTATCAGGGCTTCAGCTATTCTGGTGGAACATTGTGCTTTGGGAGTGAGAGAATATAAACAAGTACAAAATCCTGGCACCTGGGAATAGATTATATTGTTTGACCAACTGTTTGCTGTAAAAGGCAGCTGTCCTCATTAAATCTGGGATGACCAGATGCAGCTTATTCAGGAGCTGTAGGAGAGTTGGGGGCATAAGGACAATGTAAAACCAACCATGTGTCATTTAATGATACAGTTACAGTTGAAGGTGCAGGTGCTTTCAGGGGTATGTGCTCTAATCAGGATGTTGATCAGTTGGTTTTCATTGAAATACTGGCCTCACAGTTATATCTACAAGCAGCAACATTTTTGCTGTGCAACACAAATTTTGATTCTGTGTTTTGTTTAGATAGCTCAGACACATTTCTCTAACCCTTGGACGACCTGTATACACACCTATAGAGAATTCTCTTTTGACTTTCCTTGTCAAAGGTGGCTAATTTTCAACTTTTACTGTAATTGGGTCTCTGTAATGTTGCAGTGTGCATTTTCAGATACGCTTGACCAGGTATTTGATTTTCACCTTGGATTTGAAGGGTTGGGGTGTCGTTTGGAGATAGCCAATCTGTGGAGGAAAATCCAGCAAAAGCTAAAATAAGAACAAGTATGTAGCCTCATGTACTCTGATTTGGGAGTAAAACTGAACCCCAGGAAACAAAAGTGTTACAAAAAAAAGCTGGGTAAAACTTTCCTTTGTCATAAACTGTTCGGCTAATAGCACTTAAAATTCCTTCAGGGTCTGACATGTTACTTTACGTTTCTGAGCAGCTAGTGCTGGACAGGCCTTGCCTCTTCCCTTAGAGTGTGATGCTGATGAGAAGCAGCTCCAGTTTTTGTTCAAAGCTGTTTAGAATAAGACTGAGTTTGTTCACTGCCATACTCTTCATTTCTCTAACATGTCTGTTGTCTGTCCCCTCAAAATGTTGAATACAGACATCCAGTATTTTAGAAGCCAGAAGCTGGTGAAAATGTTAAACGTGTGAACTGTGAACATGAAGCGGTATATTATTTTAATAAGCTCAAGATAAACATGTGTTGAGTGTAAATGAGCTGCCTGTTGTTAGAGTTTATTTTTCAGTTACTTATCCCTCCTAAATCTACAGCATGTGCTCCTTTTCTCACCATAACTGATGTAGCTCATAATTCAGAGCTTTTATCTCAATAGCATTAGTGGACAAGGTCATGAATACATACTCTTTCTACTGTGGCTCTTACTAGAGAGGAGCTGTAGAAGAGCTTGGAGGTGGGGAGGGAAGAAGCACCTGGCTTTGAGCAGTCAACATCAGCCGTTGTTGCTCTATCTATCTGCAATGAATTAAAGCTTTAAATAGCTACAGTAATACAAGTTAGATTGGAATCTTCTAGGGGATCCTGGGCAGAACAATGATGGCACTTAATTGTAGTTACAATTACAGCTTTTTTTCTTAGGGATTTTATGATTAGTATAGCACAGAATTTATTCCTAGAATGGCACAGGATTTCTACAAGGAGAATCAATATAGTACAGTCTATAAGTAGCATAATACAGAATTTAGAAATTGTGAGTTAAGTTGTATTACGATCACCTGGACCCTATGTGGATCACCTCAAATCCTAATACATGGTTTGCTGTATCAATGTAACTATCATAATCTAGGCTCAAAAAAATCATATAAAGGAATACGAGTCACTTACTTAATCCTCAGGGAAGCAGATGAGGGTGGGGGCATCCCTGGCCACTGGAGTCATGGGTCTTGCTGTCTCCAGGTTCCCATTTAGGACATGTAACTGCTTGATTTTATACACGCAGTGCTCTGTGTGCTGATAGTCTTCACTATTCTGTGATTGGGTCATCAACAGCGCTCGGTTGGCCGGGTGCCTGGGACCTTCAAGGCCAGCAAGGAAGGGAGTAATTGTCCTGGCACCCAGGAATCTTGAGGCTGATAGGGAGGGGAGGAAAACTGTTTGGTTTGTCTACTTGGTTCGCAGGATCTTCAGAGCCTGAGAATGAGGGGAAAGGGAACGAATACGTGACCTGCTTGGTCACAGGGAATGGCTGCATGCCTCTTAAAATGGCGTCAGTTATGCTAACTGTATTACCAGTGTTGGGAGCAGGGGGCACTTGTCACACCTAGTTCAAGAAGTTTGAAAGTTGAAGAAGGGAGTACTCATTAATGTCAGTAAGATACTATTTTAGCCATTTCAAACTGGTTTAGTATCCAGGTAATTGTCTTGAACTTGGCAGTGCAAGGTGCTGTAGAGACACATAGTACCAGAAAGTTCAGAAGGGGGTTAGACATGCTTGCTGACAGCTGCCCATGAGCAGTGAATAGACAAGAAAGTGCTCTCTGACATCTGTAATGTTGCTGTGGATGCTGGGTAGTGTGAGAGGTTTCAGTTTAAGACTGTAGCCTGGATTTTCTGCTCAAACCGCATAATTTTGCCTGCTGCGGCTGGCAGAGAGAATGTGGGCCCTAGCAGGCCCTTGGTCTGATCCAGTGAAAGCTTGGACTCAAAATAAGTCATCTCTGTCACTGGAACTTGACTGCTTGTTTTTAATGTCTTCTGTTTTCACTTATGGCTCGGTCAGACTGTCTCATTTGAAATAGTGAAGGAATTTTACAATACACAGTCTTACATGTAATATTTAAACTAGTTAAACCCCATGTTAATTGCAAAATAGATGCAAAATATCCTCCAGCAAGGACAATGATCAGCCAAACATGCTTTTGGATACTATACCAGTGGTGTTTACGTCCTCAGTGGGGTACTTGTGTTGATGAGGATTGATTAATCTCTGAGATATGCCATGATCTTTCAGACTTAAGTCATAGTATAACTGTATATGTTAAACAGAGTATAATTGTATATATTATACATGTTTGACTAAACTTTGTACAGTCTCTTGCGCATGACTTTTGGATTATTAAAGTATTTGATTCTAAAAGTTGTTTCCATAACTACATGTGGTCTGTCAGCAGCACCTAGCAGTTGCAGTTCTGAAACAATCCTACAACTTTCTCAGAAAAAGATATCCGATCTAAATATTGGATTACGCAGTATTATTTTAAAAGTTATATTCTGCTTAATAAAGTACTTTAATCTGACAGGTTGGCTGTCTTTGTGATGTAGGGCCTTAAGGAGGGAGTGATTTGTTTAAGGGATGATCATCATTTTGAGCACGTTCAGATTTGGATTCAAGCCAGTGTAGTTTACCCATTCCCCTAGGTTGGCTGAGCACTAGGTTTTGATCATAAACCAGCCTTTTTAAGAGAGAGGGGAAAAGTTTTTGTAAAGAAGTTACTGATTATTAGTCATGTACAAAACCTAATTAGTAACTGCTGTTGATGAGTCTGAATTGTTGGGATTTACATAACTTGCAAACTAAAATTTGCTGGTTTACATGCACTATAAAATATTATTTGTGGATGTGAGTAGGGAGGGGGAAATAGAGAGGAGAAAAAAACCCACCACAAAATTCAGTGGAAACTGAAAATTCTTGCTTTAATTTTCAGTAGAAGTTTTGGTTTTAACCAGCTCATTTAAAATGTAGAATGAGTCTTTCAGTGGTAGCCCAAAGGCTAATTTAGTCACAAACAACTAGAGCATAATTTGCTTGCTGAGTTTTGTTATTCAGGAGATGAGAGAGAGCAGTAGCGTATGCCTGCAGGAGGATAATTTTCTGTGTGTTTTATAGCTGTAGGTATTGTGCTGAAAGCAGTACAAAATACCTCTCCTAAATCTGCTTAACTGTTTTGCTGCCAGCAGTCCAGTGACTATTCTCCTTGAAGGGAGATTACTTTCAAGGAGTATAGGATTAGTTTAGTAACACTCATTATAGAGATTTAGCTGTTCTCTTAGAGGGTCAATCATTTAGCTGATACATTGATGAGTAAGTTATTCATATTTATACCTTATGTAAGATCAAAGTTGCTTGAAGTTCATTCCAGAGAGATGATGACTGGTCAGTGACTGGTATGCGCATAAAAGCAGATAAAGTAAGTATACCTTGTTATGGTGGACTACATAAAAACATCCTGTGTTTTTGTTCTCCTGCAGGGTGAAAAGAAATACTCAGAAAGATGTGCAAGTGTTGAGATTTCAGTAAATCCCAGTTCTAATGTATTGCACTGACATTTCTTATTGTTCAGATAAATGTAATGAGACCAGTTTGTATTGGCCGATTGTCTAATTTGTATATCCTGTTCTCCAAAGTACTGCAATGTTCTTAACATAGGTGAAGTTCTCATAGCTGTACTTTGCCCCTTGGTGTGCTTCTAACTGAACTCACTTGAACGCTCTTTGTGTTTAGAGGGAATACAAAGTTGTGTATGGTCATGGCTTATATTTATATTTTTTTCGTAGCTATATAATCTTACTAAATGCCTTACAAATATTTACATAGTTTAAAGGAGTTGTTTTCTTCATTTTGACAAAAGTGTGTATTACTGGCTCCTTGTATAGGAAAGCACTTCATGGAATGAAAATGCAGCCAGCTTGTGCTTTTGACTTGGGAGAGTGCTATTAGAAAGCGCTAACAGCAGGGAATAGCATGTGGTTGAACTATGCTACAATCTCCCCTATTTATAGAACTCTGACTATTTTCCTAAAGATTTTCTTTTATTGTTTTGGAAGCCATAAAACCTGTTCTTCCAGTGACAGACCTGATGGTGTCTACAGTCTGACTCATGTGTAGTCTGTAAATCACATTTTGACTAAAGATTTGCTTAAAAGAAATATTAAGTAAATGAACTCTCAAACCATGACAAAGGCAAGTATCTGAATTGTGTAGATAATCAGTTGAGAATTCCCTTTGGTTTTCAAGAGACAAGCTTGTGTAAGAATTTCGGCTGGAAGTACATGGCATGTGATTTTTGTCCTCAAGGAGGTGCTGTTTATTTTCAGAAGTGATAAGATCATACTTAAGCCTAAATCTTCCTGCTTTTGCACCTGTCAAGTTTCACTAGATACTGAGCCTGAGGACACATAGACTTCCAGCAGTGCTCTCAAACTTAACTGTAGTTCAGAGAAAGCACATGTTTAGAAGCACAGAGATGGGGGGAAATAGGATGGTTGATTGAAGAGACCTTTCAGCAGTGCCTGACTAGCCGGTTTTGTCTGAGGAACAGCCAAGACTGTTTTGCAAGAGGAAGCTGTTGCTTATTTGCCCATGATTTGCAAGATGTCAAAAGCATGTCATTTGCGTTCTTCTGAATGGGATGATGACTTTAGCTGCTTTTCATTCTGAGTAATCGGCTTCTCTGCATTTCAATTTTAGCATGTAACTTTGTTTTTTAGACACTGTAGTGTTTTCAGTTTTCCCCAAAATTTTCATGGAAGTTCTGAGAATTAATTTTGTCACATATAATTTCCAGTCATTATAATTTGGTGAATACAAGTATTTTTTTTCAGGCACCAGTCTCTCTGGGGTAAGTATAACCAGAAGCAAACAAAGGCTGTTGGAAAATAAGTAATGTAACTTGGGTTTTTTAAAATATAAAAGTGTTGATATTGGGGGTGGCGATAGGGAATAATCAATCTGCCCTGCCACTGAGTAGAGCAGCTGAGGAACACTCACTCCGTACAGGGTGTAAGTATTGATTTGAATGAGACCAAATTCTTCAAGAACTTTTCTTGAAGAAATTCGCAAATCTCAAAATGGTAGTTTGCGACTTCTAAGCTATCTAACTACATTATTAAGTTCTTCTGTGCTCAGTGGTGTTACTATAGTGAATATTCCATAGCTCAGTATAAATATTCTAGATAGCTCAGACTTGTCACTCTCAGTGTTACACCTGTAGAGAAGTGTTTCCATGTGTCTGGGTATTAGGCTGGAACTTTAATGATTCTTCCCAAACTAGAAATTTTTTCCTGTCCAAACTTGTTATGAAAATCCACAAAATCAATTTAGTTGCTGTCTTTTACCATTGATAGTTTATTTTTAACTTCCTCTGTCTAGTATATGGTTGTGAATGCCACTGAAAGTGTAGATGTAAAGATGTTTATAAACAGCAGTGGATCTGTAGTCTTCATTTTGTTGTAAAATAAATACTAGTTGGTGCATCATTTCTCCTGTTGCCACTGTTTAGGATTGATGTTTGAATATCTACAAAAGCATTTTTTTAAAAAGCTATTGGTAACAAACTACCGCTGCTTCGCTAGTTTGAAACTGGTTTGGTTCTATGTTAAATGACTGAATTTCATTGGTGTTACAGCTTATAAAATTCACTGTAGTTCCTTCCAATACACAGTAGAATGTAAGCTTGCGTATCTACCCCCACATCTTCTGTCTCCTTCCTTTTTTTACTTCAATATTTACTGCAGAATTGTAACCATTAATAATTAGGTCTTGTGTTTGACTGTTGCACCTCAAGTTTTGACATACACTATGAAATATAATGTCACCACTGAAATACCTACATGTATTTTAAGTCTAGGGAAAAAATACTCTTAAAATGACAGTTCCTGAGGTAGATGAACTTTCTTCTTCTTTCCTTATCAGGAAGCATTGATGAAGATGTGGTGGTGATTGAAGCATCCTCCACTCCCCAGGTCACTGCTAATGAAGAAATAAATGTTACCTCAACAGATAGTGAAGTGGAGATTGTCACAGTTGGTGAAAGCTACAGGTGAGACTTGCATCTCTTTGTATTAGTACAATTTTGCTTGACTTCATGTTTGTCACAAGGCTCTGTATAATTTAAAGTTTATAAGGTTGTGTCAGAGAAATTCTAACCAGGATGCATACTATGCATTTTTGATTTTAAAAAACCCAAAAACCCAAAACCCCAAACAAAGAAACAAGCAAGAAAACCCAAACCACAGCTTGGCCAAAGCTTTACAATTGAACTAATCTGGAATTGTTGTGGTTGTTGTGCTTGGTGTGAGTGATGGGCAGAATTTTGGGGAAGCAGAGCTGTACAGTGAGGTACCAGAGAAAGCGAACTCGGCTGAGTTGACCAGGGACTAGCTAAGCATTTCTCAGGAACACTTCCTACTACTTCAAAGCTGCTGCTGTGTATGCTTTCCTATTCTTCCATGCCTCTCTGTAAGTTTTGTTCCATATTTGTTAGATTTTGCAGAATCTATCTAAGTGGAGTTCTTTGAAGAAGAAAACTTGACATTGTCATGTGTATGGGACTGTTGGAGATGCTTGCCTCTTATGTATGTTTTCCTGTTTGTGAACATGAAGACAAAATTGTAAAATACGAAGAATGGCTATCCACTTCTTACAAAATAATGACAGACGAACAATAGGCAGTAATTCTGTCTGTCATCAGATAGTGCTTTCGCTAATGCAGTTTTAAATTTAAAATAACACACAAGTTTTCCTGAGAAAAATCACACTTACTGGAATAAATATGACAGTGAACAAACCAATTTTATGTTTACGAGAAATGCATGCATACTGTAGGTTTCTTCAACACTTGGAACTAACTAAATCTTTTGTTAAACTCCGACACTCAAAGGATGTCGTACACACAAAAATATGCAGCCCAAACCTATAGCAAAGAGGAAATGAGGAAATTAGTTTCTTCAACAATGTTTCTTTATATTTCCTTCTGTTTAGAAGAAAACAAAAGCCGCAGTCACAGATGCTCAGTCTTGTGTTGATTAGAAATAAGTTTCTAGAAATAGTAATTTGTCCACATGAACGTATTTGTTGACGAGTCATAACTTATGAAGCGACATGAATGCTTGTAAAGCTTTAAAGGGCAAAAAAATAGCCTAGATGAAAGTGATTGTGCTTATAGAATGTTAATTTGGACCTGATTAAAGACAGATAACATGCTTTTAAAAAATAAACAGCTTTCTCTCTTCCTAGCATCAATAAGGAATGTTTTGTGCAGTAGCCATAAAAGACTTGAAAAGATTATTTTTTCTTCCCTTTCCTTCTGCAATGCTCAGCCCAAACAGCCGCAGCAAATCTCAAGTGGAATTGAAGTGTAAGCCAGTTGAGATGACTACAGCAAGCATGCTTTTTACACTACAGGAAAATACACTGATCTGTGTTAGTGAGTTACACAGAGAGGGGTGAGGGGAGTACAGACAGAACAAAGTTGTAGACTGAGCTCCATGGTGATTTGTGCAGTGGGTTTTGTTTGTTTTTGGTGAAGTCATTCCCTTTTCTTCACATTTTCCTCTTCTGAATTTCTGAAGTCTGAGTACCTTGTTTTTCCAAGTGGGAAAATAGGAGCCACTTGATTTATGTAAATACTGGAGAGTCACAGGTTTTTGGAAGTGAACTGGTACATACAATACTGTGAAGTTATTCTTCCCTTAAAGACGATGTCCTCTTAACTTAAACTCCAGAGCATCATGCATTTGAGTGTTTGGGTTTGTACGGCTAAAGTGAATAGAATGGGTGCTAAGTGTTATACTACAGAGGTAAAACCATTCCTTTCCTTAGGTATGGCTACAGGCTTACGATTTCCTCTCCTCAAGCCACACTTCATTTAAGTTTGCTAAACAAAGCTGTATTTCCTCTTAGAGGAGAGGGGGGGAAATAATATTCAATAAAGTCTTGATTATTTTGCATTTTTAGGACACTTTTGAAATAAAAAGTATAGAAATTATTCTCTGAAAATATTCTGAGTTAACAGGCAAAAGAAGTTAAGGTTTACACGTTTTTATTGTCTTCATGGTTCTGTTGTAATTCATAGATCTGCTGTTTCAGACTGCATAGGGATAGTATAGGATCGGGAGACTCTTCATTTACTGTTAACAAAGTTAAAACATAGCATCAGCTATATCAGCTGCCTGACTGCGTCTGTAGGGCTTCAGGGTGAGTTACCTGTATGGATTTCATAGGAACATGGCTTAAAGACCTTTAAACTCTACCTATTTGCTGTGGGCCATTATGTTACCTGGTAAAGGCTGCAGTAATGTTTGTAGGTATACATCTAGCGAGTGCAGAGTAGTGGGGTATTTCAACATAACAAAATGCTTTAAAATAGTAATAAAAACCTTCAAAAAGTTTCTCAAGCAGTGGGGAGAAAAATTTAATAACAGCAAAATTTAAGTTAATACTTAAGGCATTACCTTTTCTAAGGTCTCGTTCAACACTTGGACATGCAAGATCCCACTGGGGACAAAGCTCTAGTTCTCATGCTTCACGACCTCAAGAACAGCGGAACCGCAGTAGGATTTCCACAGTCATACAGCCACTGAGACAGAACGCAGCGGAAGTGGTGGACCTCACAGTGGATGAAGATGGTGAGTTGCAGTGGTCTGAGAAATCTCTTCCCTTTCCAGAAGCAGGATGATTGGTGTAAGGAGGGTGGAATTAAGTGCATGAGTTATAACGTACCATTCTATGAAAACGTCTCAATTATAAACAAACTAATTTCCAAGCCTACCAGAAAACCCTTCCTTTTAAAATTAAAAGTTTAGCCATTCCCAGTGGGTCTACTAGATCTAATTTTCCAAAACTGACTTGGGTGTATGTCTGAGAGGTAACTCACCAGGCAGAAAACTACAGAACGGGTTGGAACTGCTTCTTTAAAAATATGCGCTTACTTCAATACAGCACTATAAAAGGAAAATCTGTCACTGCCTATGCTTTGGAATAGTTACTGTTCTTTCAGGTCTTGGGGTAAAAATAATTTTTTTTAAAGCGGGGGGGTATCACAACCCAAAAAAACCCACCAACAACAAAAAAACAAACTAGTAAAGTACATGAGGTTTCTGAAGCTGTAACCTTTCATTGTTTCCTAACAGTAAAACCTATTGGCACTTAATATGTTTATTCATGCTGAAAATCATAAGGGCAACTTCCAGGTATTGTCAAAAGTCTATTGCTTTAATTTACTCTTGGAACTCAAATCATAGAATTCAGTCTTAAAGTCAGGAACCAAATTATTTTAAAGAATTTATTATTGCTGAATGAACTTTTACTTCTGTAATGTGTATATTTAAGATTAGCTGTTTCTCCCCTCCCTTATCCCAGAGGAAATACCTTTCTAAGGTGAGTCTTCCAAGATTTCAGGGATATTATTTTGGGGGTTAGGAATCAAATTCCACACACGAACTAATGTAAAAAAATCAAAATTCTGAATTAACACTGTTACAAAACAGCTACACACTTTATCATAACTTTACTGATGTCTTCAAAGATATGGGTCTTAAAACTTTGCTAGCTACTTCCAAGAGCATAAGGCTCATTCTCCATCTATCTTCCTGGATTCATGTCTCTGAACTGTGATGAAATTAAGTTTCAAACTACTGGTCTTAGCAGGTAGTTTGAGACTGACAGAGCCCACTGGTTTTATGGGGGAGAAACAGACTAGAACTGTCGGTATTGCTGACAGTGAGCCAAAACAGTAACAGGCTAGCAGGGTGATTGAGGATAATAGAATTGAGATTTGCCTGGCTGCAGGATTGCTCTCAGAATGTTTTAACAGCCAGTTTTGAGCACTGTATGATCGCGTATCAGTGTTAGGTTATACGTGTCCTATGTACTTGGTGGTTTTTATACTGAATTTAAACATATGTACATTTCCTTTAAATAAAAGTATTTTAATGTCTCATTCCGAAATATTGGAATGAGACATTAAAATCCCAAGGAATTTAAATGTAGGTATCAGGTCATGGTTTATTATTGATGAGTTGGAAAACTTGCAAGAAGGGAGATGTTTATTCCTTTGCTTGCGGAGTTGTTGATATACCTACTAGATACAGAGAGAAATCTTGAAAACTAGTCATATTTTGAGACTTTATATGAGAAGTATTTGAAGTGTCTTGATGCTTTTTTTTTTTTTGGTCCCCCTGATACACATGCAGACATTTTCACAAAAAAAACCCTGAGCTGTTTCTGATGATAATACCTTTTATGGTATCATATTCCTAGTCATGTCATTGCTTTGTCAGTAGAGAGACATTTCAAACTTAGCCAAAGAGAGACTTTTTTAAAACTAGATTTTAATTATGCCACCAAGTAGCTTTTTAAAATTTAACCTGTTTACAGCTGTGTAGTAGAGAACAAGATTTGTCAAGTGTTTGGTGTATTTCCCTAGATCCAATTAAATACATTGCCAATATTACCTTTACAATATGAAAAATGATCATGTATGTACTTTTAACAGAAATTTAAAATACTGATTTAATGAATCTGCTTTTAATGTGTATTGAGACTAGAAACCAAGTTTATCTTGTTATAGCCTTTAGTACTATTCAGCTACTTCCTGTCGCCAGTCCTGGCTAACCCGGGAGGTCCCAGTTGACTGACAGCAATGTGACACCCCTCTACAAAAGGCCAGAGGGAGGATCCAGGGGCTACAGGCCTGTCAATCTGGCCTCAGTGCTGGGGAAGGCTTTGGAGTAGATCATCCTGAGTGCCATGAAGTGGCACATACAGGACAACTAGGCGCTTGGGCCCAGTCAGCATGGGTTTATGCAAGGCAGGTCCTGCTTGGCTGACCTGACCTCTTTCTAGGGCAAGGTGACCTGCTTAGTGGGTGAGGGCAAGGCTGTGGGTGTTGTCTACGTAGACCTTAGTGAAGTCTTTGACACCATTCCCCACAGCATTCCCCTGGAGAAACTGGCTGCTCTTGGCTTGGACTGCTGTAGTCTTTGCCCTGTAAAAAACTGTCTGGATGGCCGGGCCCAAAGAGCTGTGGTGAATGGAGTTAACTCCAGTAGGCAGCCAGTCCTAAGTGGTGTTTGTTCCCCAGGGCTCAGTGTTGGGGCCAGTTGTGTTCAGTGTCTTTGTTGATGGTCTGAATAAGGGGATCAAGTGCACTCTCAGTAAGTTTGCAGGTGACATCAAGTTGGGTGGGAGTGTTGATCTGCCTGAGGGTGAGCGGGATCTGGACAGGCTGGATCAGTGGCCTGAGGCCAACTGTATGTGGTTCAACAAGACCAAGTGCTGGGTCCGGCACTTGGGCCACAACAACCCCCTGTAACCCTACAGGCTCGGGGACAGGTGGCTAGAATGCTGCCTGGCAGAAAAGGACCTGGGGGTGTTGGTCAACAGTGGCTGAATATGAGACAGCAGTGTGTTCAGGTGGCCAACAAGGCCAATAGCATCCTGGCCTGCATCAGGAACAGTGTGGCAAGCAGGACTAGGGGAGTGATTGTCCACCTGTACTTGACGCTGGTGAGGTTGCACCTCATAATCCTCTGTTCAGTTTTGGGCCCCTCACTTCAAGAAAGACGTTGAGGTGCTGGAGTGTGTCCAGGGAAGGGAATGGAGCTGGGGAAGGGTCTGGAACACAGGTCGTGTGAGGAGCAGCTGAGGGAGTTGGGTGTGTTCAGCCTGGAGAAGAGTAGGATCAGGGGAGACCTTATGGGGCTCTACAGCTGCCTGAAAGGAGATTGCAGAGAGGTGTGAGGGTTGGCCTCTTCTCCTAAGAGGGGAGGCCCTCAAGTTGCACCAGGGAAGGTTTGGATTGGATATTAGGAAGATTTCTTCACCAGGAGGGCTGTCAAGCACTGGAACAGGCTGCCCAGGGAAGCGGATTTAAAGGATGTGTAGATGTGGTGCTTAGGGACATGGTTTAGTGGTGGACTTGGCAGTGTTAGGTTAATGGTTGGACTTGATGGTCTTAAAGGTCTCTTCCAACCTAAACGATTCTATGGTTCTATCATTCTAGCTACAGCGGTTGAAGTCTGTCAAGTAGTACGACCGGTTTAGATGATGTTATGCTGTTCTTGGTTAGTTATCTAAAAGTTTTTCTGTGCTTTGTAGGCATTAAAAAAATGGTAAGGGTATTACTTAATCGTAGAGTAGTTTGCCTGTAAATTTATGATAGGTTTCATCAAGTGTTTTCATCATAAAGTACCAAAGTAATTTAATTTCTAGTAGCATTTTATTCAGTAAATAAAACTTGATATATCAGATTTGGTTGGAAATTGATTTTATATTTTTAAAATCTGAGTTGATTAAAAAAAAAGTGCTTTTTTTTTCCCCACGCATGAGTGAAACAGAATTAACTTTTGTATTTTATACCTTTTAGGCTTTTCTGTTCTGAATTTCTTAGCGTCTGGCAAGATCAGAATTGAGAATTTCTTGTAAAATTATTGTTGTTGCTGGCATTCAGTTAAAAACCCCAGCAGCTTTTCAAGCTTAAAGAACATGAAAGCTTTTTTTGTTTCACTAGAGCCGACAGTTGTGCCAACTACGTCAGCTAGAGTGGAGCCAGAGGTCGTGAGTTCAGCTTCCAGTAACAGCACTAGTACATCTACCTCAGAGCAGGCCTCTGATGCATCTCCAAACGTCTCCAACAGCCAGCCCTCTGCAGCACCAGAGAGGACTTCCAGTCTTCCCAGTGGCGGCACTGCTGGTACTTCGGCTGGAGGTACAGAATAAGGGAGCTTTCTAAACTGTTGTGTTGCCTCCTAGTACAAAGGAGGTGGAGGAATTTAATTATCAGTCACTAGATTGAAAAGCATTTGGTGCTGAGCATAACAGTAGTAAGTTGAAAGGACAGGAGTCTGAAAAAGAGCATTGATTTATCACCAAAGATGAAGGAAGTTTTGCCTGAGCCTTCTGCTTTTGCCTACTGCAATGATTTGGTTATACCAAATGAATCGCATCCTTGCTTTTTTGAGGAAGTAGAATATAGTTCACAGGGAACTAAGTCTTCCATTGCAGTGTGTTACAGGGGATGCCTTTTTAATGTGTGCTGTAAGGAAGTGAAGGATGTATATAGATTCCTTGAACATTGCTCTGTACATTACTTCAGTGGAAGCACATGTATTCAGGACAGCGTGGATACTGACCTATAGTAGAGCTGTATGTACAGGGTGCTCTCATAACCCCTCTGAAACATAGGTGCTCTGCCTCTATCTGCAAGTCAGGTGAGGTACAAAAAACCTGAGCAGTCCACAGTTGAATAAGAATTTTAGGTCCCTGCACACTAACCACAGGGAAAATCTTTCCTCCTTTCCTTACTGATAACACGTTTTAAATACGTGGAATAAGGCAAGTGCCACTTCAGGTCCTGTAGTGGTTCCCATGAGCAGATCCACCTGAACCATTCAATTTTGGCTCATTTGGCAGGCATAGCTAAATCTTCTTTTTGTCCAGTTTGGTTTGGTTAAGTCTAGATCTGTTTTTCAATTGGTTAATTATTTGTGAAATACATTTTATTTTTCTATTTAAGACACTGCTTTAGAGTGATCAGCTTTGCTAATTTCTTTCACTTCAATGTTAACTTTATCTTCAAGATGATGTAAGAAGAACTGCATCTAATACGACACTGGAAACTGGCCCTCCGGCCATGCCAAGGTTACCATCTTGCTGCCCTCAGCATTCTCCTTGTGGAGGACCTTCGCAGGCTCATCATGCACTGGGGCACCCACATACAAGTTGCTTTCAGCAGCATGGCCACCACTTTCAGCATCACCACCACCACCACCACAATCCTCACCCAGCCGTGCCGCTGTCTCCTTCGTTCAGTGACACCAGCTGCCCGGTTGAGAGGCCTCCTCCGGTGCCTGCACCTTGTGGAGCAAGCAGCAGCTCTGGCACCAGTTACCATGACCAGGCATGTTGAATTCTTGTGACTTTGCGATTTCAAGTTAATGTAGATATGAGGGAGTAGAATAGGGTGCTGAATTGTGCGTTTTTCTTTTGTTCTGTAGCAGGCTTTATAGAAGGGAACGAAAAGGAAAACTTGAGCTATAGTATATGCACAGAAAAACACTGATATTTTACAGAAAGTCATAAGCCAATACATAATTGTTGACATCCTCTTGATAACTGTAAGACGATAGTGGCTGTTCAAACCAACCAAACATAAATACCTTGCAAATAATAGAGCTGCTTTAAAGGAAGAAAAAAATCAAGTCTAATCTTCTGTTTATAAAAGGTATAAAAGAGTTAGTTTTCTGAAAGCATTGTGTGTTAGGAGTTTTTAAGTAACTGAAATCACAAGTCTAAAATAATATGTTTGTAAGTAAGAACAATAGTGTGCAAATTTAATTGAAAACATTCAGAACTATCAATTTGGGTTCTGTTTTAAGTGTAATACACTAGGCCCAACTGAAAATGCTAAAGATTGGTTTTTGCCTCCAACTACTTCTATGCATGTAGTTCCCATATAATCACTGATTTATCCATCATATTTAGGTTTTTTTACACAATCTGGAGTAATGATTTCAGTGTCTCTCACCAAATTCAAGAACTTAAGAATATTAACCATATCTAAAGAATGTCCCGGAGTCGAGCCTTAAAACTTAAGAATTTGGATCCCAGTTGCTATGCTTGACTTTGTTTTCGATGTCTAAAGAATTGCGTGATAAAAGATGGTAATTTTTACGCAGCAGGCATTGCCCGTAGACTTAAGCAGCAGTGGCATAAGAAGTCATGGAAGCGGTGCTTTTCATGGAACATCTGCTTTTGACCCTTGCTGTCCTGGCTCTTCGTCTCGAACTGCAATTTATGGGCATCAGGCTGGTGCTGGCCCGAGCCAATCAATAACAATAGATGGGTATGGATCGAGTATGGTTGCGCAGCCCCAGCCCCCTCCTCAGGCATCGCTTTCTTCCTGTCGGCATTATATGCATACTCCTTGTAAGTACTGATAAGGACTGGGTACGTGGAG